CCCCCCCCCCCCCCCCCCAAAGACATGCACACCCCATTGTGGACGCTCGCTGCTCCCAAAACATCCCGCCGCAAAAGAAGGTGATTAAGTCCGCCGGGGTCGCCCTGGCCTGGTACCTTGCGTCCTCCGCCGTCGCCTTGGCCGCCACCGCCGCCACCGGTGGCGCCGCGAGAGCCCGGCCGCAGCCTAGGATGAGGTACACCGGCCTGCCTATCCTGCTGATGGCCTACGCGTTGAGCAGGGGGGACTTGAAGGAGAGGACCAGGTGCGTGGTCTTCTTTTTTGTTGGTGTTGCAGTAGCGAGGTTGTAAGCGTGTGTGTTGGTAGCCAGCCTCACCTAACCGGATGTACGATCATGGGTCTTACACGGGCTTTTCGTTTCCTCTCTGATTTTTTTTGTTTCTGGCTCTCTCTGTCGTTGCCTGATTTTTTCGCTCGACCGTGTACCGTTCTTCTCACACACATGTGCTCTTACCGACTGTCGTCATTTCATCGGCCAGCAGCGGTCGGTGCTAACTAAAGACACACACCCGTCCACAAAAAAACACACATCCGCGTTGAAAAAAAAAAAGACTCGAAGGCGTTGTCCCCCGGGACCCGGAGTCTATCAAGCTGCTGGCGGACGATGCCGAGGACCTGGCCATGTCCTGGGGGAAGCCGGCTGGCCTGATGGCCTACACCTCCGTGGACTGTATTGTGTTCTTCTTCCTCTCCAGGTAAATGAATTTTGCAAGCGTTTTGCGTCTTCAAGCAGTGAGAGAAACGACGCCTATGGCGGTAGCGCGTGGCTCGTGCCTTCGTGTTTGTGCGTGTATGATTACAAGGTCTCCAGGCTTGAGCGCCAGGCGCCCTCGCCTTTAGCTCAGTGTTACGCTGAAAGGAAGGGTGGCGGGTGAAGACTGTGCATAGCATACCAAGGGTACCAAGCTGGAAAAGACGTTCACCTGTATATATATGGTACTGTTGTAGTGTAGAGGCTACAGCAGCACCTTAAGTACTACAGCGTGTTTTTGACAGTAGTGCAGAAGACGACAATAACAAATTTGCAGTTCACGATGTGCATGCAATGCATGTGATGTTCGAAAACTCAAAGCACAAGTGAAATTTACTTCATATAGAAAGAGCTGTGTTGTTGTTGTTGTTGTTGTTGTTGTTGTTGTCTTCACATTAAACCGTATGTCAGTTGCTAAATGCCAAAATTTAGCAAAAGACTCTCAGCCCGTGGTCACGAAAGTGCTAGAGCCATCTGAGGATCTAAAGAACACGCACAAATGTAACGAGAAAAAGGTATCTAAGAGCCCGAANTGTCCCACTCTGTACCAAAACGAATGATTGCCGACTACAGCATACTTGCTGTCTGAAGTGCTGTCTGTACAAAAACACCATGGTAGGCATGGAACAAGCAGCTGGCGGGGCACAAAGCTGCTGTCTGAAGTGCTGTCAGAAATGTGTGTGCGGCCGTACAGCGAAAAAGAACAACCAACCAAAGCCATCATAGCAGCAATTGACAATCACCCGAATCTCTCCCGATCGTCTGTGTAGGCACTGCAGTGAAAAATATCGACACTAGCTAAGAATCGTTCCNCTCGACCTGCTCCGTCCGTACACGCTCTCGTTGCTGTCCTTCCCAGTCCGATCCTCGCTTTCTCCCTCATTGCACTCAAGGTTCTTGGTCTGAAAAAAATAAAAATTCTCGCGCCGAATGGTCAACCAGCCTAGTTCAGCTCGTCGCCACCTGCTCCCTCCTCCTTTGATGGCGAAGCCAGGTTTCTGAGGCAACACAGCTCGCTCTAGCAAACCTAGGGCCGTGTAGTGCCCGTCCACCTTTCTGATGGTGTCTGCCTCCGCGCACAAAAATGAGATGGGCATCACTGCCAACGCCGACGGCCAGAAAGGCCCGCGCATCTACATTTTCCCGCCTGACCCCATCAGTGCCGACCCAACTCCACCACCACACGCACGCCTCGCGGCGGATGCGCAGCAGCAAGAAGGTTTCGGCCATCCCTTGAGGGTGAGTCTAGCCCTGCTCGCCAGAAAGACCCCCCCCTTCGCTAAAACCCATGTCTAAGCAAAAGCTTGTCGAGGAGCGAGGGGAAGAAGGGAGGAAGTGGTGTACAAACATCAAAAAAATAAACAAACCCTGTCCAAATTCCTTCCTACAGCAGTAGACCTACCTGTACTTTTGAAACCTTGCCTCAGACGATTTATTATGCAGACCAACTAAGAATTCCACGAAAATGTCACGCTTTCACGCTTTATATCGACTGACTTCTGACTAACTTCCACTAAATGCTTGTGGTATTCACGAAATGAGCATTTATGCGACTAAAACTTTATCTTTCTATCTATATCAATATTTCTACCGTTACCTGTGAAAGACACAGGCAGGGATATGATGTTCTTCTTGTAGTGGCACACCGCACAACAAACGCATGTAAACTCTCTACAGTTCACCTGTATACGGTAGTGTTTAGGCTACGGCAGCATCTTGAATGCTATTCTACAGCGTCATTGACAATATTACAGAAGACAAACAAACTTGCAGTTTTCCGTGAGATGTGCATGCATGTTCGAAAACTGAAAGCACAAGTTTAAGTAAGTCAGCTTTGGCGTACCACAACGAAAAATAAACTGTATGTAACCCCGTTCAATTCCTTCCTGCAGCAGCAGTAGACCTGTAGTTGCCACTTGGAGGGTGTGTGTATCTCAGGCATACATTCGTTGCCGTATGCACGTATGTAGTGCGTGAAAAAACACACGATGCACGTGAGAACTTCGAGGTTATTATTTCAGTTCGCGTTGCTTACGCTAGAGAAGATGACGACAGCAGTCTGTCGATATCTAGTCGACACCAGGGCACAAATACGATTAAATCCGCCGTCGGTGCTACACATAACAACTTCCAATGAGGTAGTCGGTCATGGTTTATGAGTTGACGTTCTCCGAAATCTCGTCCAATGAGCTGCTTGATTCTTCGAGGTGACATTCCCTACCGTAGACGCGCCAGGATGCAGTAGATTTAGTCGTACTTTACGGTGCTGTAACTCGGCTCGCCGTTGGAGTCTAGAGTTTTTGACAGGGGCGCTGTGATCGTGAGATTAGCACGCCCACGTCGGCGAAGACGACCGAAAAAAATGTTTAAACCCCATTCAAAGACAAATAAAACCGATTTACCGCACCGCAACGTCTAGCTCAATGACTGAAATAGTGGTTGCGTGCATTCACCGTGCTGTAACTCTACTCGCCTTTGGAGTTTTGAGCTCGCGACAGGGGCGCTGTGATCCGGAGACTGACCCGCTGCAGCGGGCAACAGCCGGCGAAAAAAAAGTCTCAAGGCGACCGCGAACTGATGCACCGAAAAAAACGTCTTGCTTTTAGAGTGCAACAATGGTTGAACACTTGCGTCTCAGGCTTCCGACATAATTGTAGTTAGGTCTATCATGGCCACTTTGGTGGCTGTGGGCCAATCAGTTTCTTCTTTTCCTTGCGGTGGTGTGTGTGTGTGTGTGTGTGTGTGTGTTTCTAACAACGCGTCCTGGAGGATCAAGCGGCACGACAATCGGTTGAATCTGTATTGAAGAAAGCGCATTCATAGGCTCAGGACACCCGAGCGTTGGACATCTCTGGTTCTGCGAGTTGGATGGAACTATCCATCATGTCCGTCTCGAACGAGATGCGTGGAAATTAGATGGAAATGACGGCATTGTTGCTCCGTTCCGGCGTTGTAGGGATGTGAGGTCAATCGTCCAACGACTACCGCATCCGTTTACGTTAGTACACCTCACCACCCCTCGCCCTCTCTGGTACTGTAACCGCTTGGCACGATTTATTGTTTTTGGGTGAAGGTGGGTGGGGTTCCCCTTCAAGGAGCTCGTCTCTGCTCAGAGGATAGCGCATCTCCAGACCCCGGATTTCTGGTGAGCGAGACCGAGGCACCCGCTTGCAGCTTTCCGCAGTGGTACTATTTACATAGTTAATCGGATTTTATGCAAGTATATCGATCATTGGTTTGACAAACACACACGCTCCTCGTTGAGACGGAGAGAGGGGAGCACCGCCATTGCCGTGCTATCGCGTGTAGATGGTTGTCCCGACGGGATGTACTGTAAGTAAACTTCTTACGGTAGGGTTATCATCACGTACGGTAGCTTGAGCGTTTGTAGTGCCTGTCTCGTGGAGCGTTGTTCGATAAGCATGGCAGGCGTGTTGTGCTTCCTTTTCTTCCTTCCCCATGCGCGCTGTTCCTCCCTCGCTTCGTTCGCCTTTAGGCCGGACGACCGGGGGGGGG